TCATCACCTGAAATATCCGGGAAAACTGGACCCTCTACTTTGGGTTCAGGGACCACTGGATCATCAACTGTGATAATCACTGAAGTACGAGGAACAACTGTGATGCCACGCAGTGAGATTACCACGTCTGGAGGTAAGTTAATTTAGCTAAAAGTAGATAATTTTTATAGGCAATATTTTTGATCTCATACCTAATTTTGAACTATATAAATTTATCAAGATTAGACTGTCGGGTTTGAACTCAAATGCTTAAATGGTGAACTTTTTAGAACATTGTTGTTTTAAATTGCTATCTTATTCTTAAGAATTTATGTTTTCATTCCTTTTTTTTTTTTTGACTAAGTACACTCAGGGGCTCCGTAGAAACTACTGCAGGGACAAGCTGGGAAACACAGCTGAAGTAGTACTACTGGGGCCACCTCTGCTGGCAATCAAGTAGGCAAGGATTACCTGGGGGATACAGCAGAAGCATGGCTGAGACCCAAATTTTGATAAAGAATTTAAGCTAATTTAGCCAAGAACCAAATTTTTGGAGAAATTTTAAATGATATTTTGAGTTTTTTATTAACACTTAAATTTGAAATTTATTGAAATGGATGTTAGGTTATTATTTATACTGAACCAAATCATATAAACATAATAATTAAGTATCCCTTTAACCAAACAATACTGAAGTACCACTGAAATGGGTGAAAGCACAACTGATTAACTACACTTGGAAAATCAGGAGAGTGGGATGGGAAGCTATTGGTTCAGGTTGTAGCTCAGTATAAGATTTTCTGATGAATTTAATTAATAACGGATATCAGTGTATTGTAAATATAAAAATCAGAAAATCAGTTTGAAATTATTTAGTATTTAGGACCTTATGTTTTGTTTCGTGCTTTCACATCACTACTGGAACTACAATATCTGGACTCGAAGTAGTTACATTGTTAATGTACAAGTAGTGTCCCTCAAAAAATTACTTCCTCATGACTTTCCACCGTTAATCTCAGGTTCCATAAGAAGCACCTCTGACTCAACAAATGCACCAGGAATTTCCACTATTGGTATGTACGTGGAGAATGTTGGATGTATTTTTTGACTCATTTTCATACTCATTGTCTAATTAAAAATGGTAAAATAATTAATAAATAGTTAAATAGTTACAATGTCTTTAAATATATTTCATTTAACTATATATTGTTATCTTATTTTACTCATGAGAAACTTAGAAAAACATTACCTTAATAGGACTAGGTTCTACAACCTATCAAATAGTGGAGCCCACATTTTAACCCACTGTTTACTGACTCCAAAGACTGTGTTCTCCATCATAGTCATCTTCCTCTAAGGCAACATATACAATGACCTATTATTATAAGCTTGTTTTTAATATATATAAAACTTAAATTTTCCACATTTCTAAGCAAAGATAATAAAAAGAGCTTTAAATTTCTTATACAAGACAAACTATGGCACTTGCCATTGTAAAACAGCAAGATTTGGGATATTTTGCTTGATAAAACTATAACATTGTTTAATAAATCAAATTTTATCACTTTCTTTTTTACCCCACTTATTCCAACCAGATGTAAAATTCTCAAATACTTATAAGACATTTTTTTCCCAACAATTAATAGAATAAATTATTTATTCAAGACTACAATACATTATTGTTTCTAGACAAGTAATATACTCGTAATATATACACAGTACTTGAGAAACACATAATTTCTCAATTTGCGTGTTATCTAATAGAACCTAAGCATTAGTGACCAAATTGTCATTATTTAAGAAATAGATTGCTAATAATTTTTTTCTGGTAAAGATTTATTCTATATCTATTCTAAGTACTATTAGAAACTCTGTTTATGTAAATTTATTTTACAAACTAGCCACTAGTAAATAACTAATTCAGTAATTTTAAACTAAATTCACGATTATTTTTTATTCATTCAATCAATGGTTATGTAAATCTAAATGAATTTATGTGCTTCACACTATGTATTGAATATGATAATTATGTTATAAATTAATGCCATAGCTATCAGAATATGTGATTATTGGGTGCAGTATGTATTTTATTTATTTTTGTTTTTTGGATTTTCCAAGTTCAAAGCTTTAATCTTTAATTAAAAGAGACCAAACAAGAATTACGTATGTGTAAATATTTTACTTGGGAAAAAAACAGAGGTTTCGTTTTCAGTATGATAATTTGTAACTCAAAGATGTTGATTCCTTACAAGAGCACTATACAATTTCTGTCCCAAAAAACCTCATGTCCTGACTTTTATTTTTTAAGAAAACCATCTATAGATATAGCATAATAAAACAAGTTATCAATCGTATAGTTGAATCACTGAAGCGAATTGCTAAAGTACAAGGTGTATGATATTTAATTGAAACAAGATTTAAATCTTTCTATAATTAGGCCTCATAACATTATTCAAACAGAATTAATTGTAGGTAATATGAAATTAAAAGAAAAAATATATATTTCTGACAATATAATTTGAAATAATAGTTCCATTATTCCATTAGAGCGCTGAAAAATAAATAATAGACTATAAAATTCTTCGCAAATTCTATCAAATATTAATCATTATGAAGTGAGATAAAAAGTATATTTATATATGAATATATATCGATGTATCTGAATTATAGAGACATCGAATCAGCATGAGAAAACAGGTGAGAAAATATGATTATAAATGTACACTTAAAAATTGTTACATAACTAGAATGGAAAATATGATAAAATAACTCTTAAGCGAAAGTAAATAAAACATGAATCCGTCCGATATTTTTTCCTGCTGCAGACAAATCCGTCACACCAGGAAGCCCGGGATCTGGAAATGAAACAGGTGAGGGTGACGTAAGGTTTCCTTGCGCTCCCAATGGTATATGCTGCTGGCAGGCTTACAAATCTGTCCGAGAGCTTTCTCGGCTGTTGCTGGCAGGCATACCGGTCGCTAAGCTGTCAGGGGAAGGTGCGAAACCTCATCTGTCCGGGCAGAAGAGGGAGCAATGGAAGGTCTCATGAGGGCCTCTCCTGGTCAAGTTTTGTTTGAGCGGTCACGACAGTCAGTCTTTTCCCCGGCACATTCCAATAAATAAATATCTTTTTGGATTTGCTCCCAACATAGGCTCCACTGCCCTCCCAGGAGACCAAACGCCGGGCAGTGTGACAGGTGAACCTGGGGGAAAGCCACCTTCTTCTCCATGGCAGAATGAATGGAATGTCGGGGGAGGAGGCCTCGTGCTGGGAACTTTTCTGTGTGTATTGCTCCTTAATGATGTGAGTCACAGGCTAGGCCTAGATTCTCGCCTGACGAGGAGTGCAGGGGTCCTTGGACAGAACAAAGATACGCCTAGAGGCTTTCTAGGGGCAGGCCTTGAGCAGACACACACTGGTGGCCCGGAAGAACTCAGACCCTTTGTGTTTCAGGCACGAGTGGAGTACCCCCTGGCACGACTGTTGCCCCTGGCAGCTCCAACACAGGTGAGTCAACAGGCAGACGTGCAGTCTCCCACGTGTCCTCCCTGGACTGTATGCCTCCCCTGTTAGTATGGTTATTTTTTTTTCTGGCTTACTGCCTTTTTTTTTTTTTTTCCGTGATGCAGTCATTTCCCCTCTCTAATTTCAGGTTAGACTTTATCAAAAGGAATTTTGAGGTGAACTATTGTGAAAGCATTGTAGGGAGTTTTTGGAAATCCTTGTATTTTCACTAATCCATCTGTGTTTGCTCTTTCCTCTATAGGGAATAAAGTTATTCTCCTACCCTCAACAGATACTGATAGTAGAGATTTTTTTTTTTTTTGACAATTACAATTCAAAAGAGAAGTTCCCAGGTTTTTGAGATAGATATTCTTTCATGGTCAACCTTGCTGGAGGCTGGGAAAGATTTTTATCTCAAGGAGTCATAGCAAAAATTTACAATTGCAAGTTATGAAGTAAATGCTCTAAGAAAAGGGAGTGCAGAGACGTAAAATCAGGAAGAAATGTGTGTAACATTTAATAATTCTGAGTCGAATATTAATACCATCTTGATTAAGATAGATGTTTTCTCATTTTTCTCTCACTTTTATAACTTCTATCTTCCCAAAGTTAATACAGGTGATCCAGGAAACCAAGTTACAGGAAGTTAAAGAGTTAACCCTGAAGAAAATTCTTGTCATTTAGAGGTGGAGAATCATCAGAGAGAAATTTACCAGGGTCATAAGAACATATTTAATTTACTTCTGTGAGCAAGGCGTTGCTAAGATAGAGATCTCTTACGTTTCGATGGCGGGGGCCTAAACTAGCCTTAGTAAATGCATTAGCACACTACAGGTGCTTTCAGACTTTTCTATTTGGAGATGTCATGTGACATGCTGTTTCAAGACCAAAAAATGTTCTTTGCTCTTTCC